AAGCAGGGCCACATTTTCCTGAAATGCAAACCCAGGGCTGCCAAGTAAATACATTGTGGTCCCCCCACAGCATTATGGGAATGAAAATGAGTTTGCTAATCTTCAGGGAAAGATCCAAAACATCTAAATGCCCAAAACACATCCTGTTGGCTTCCTCCCTCTACCTTCTGCAAATGGTTATGGGTGCAACAGACACCGTGGTGAAGACACAGAAATGCAGTCACTCAATGAACAAATATTTCTGGAGCAGTTGAGTTTTTCCCATTCTGATAGGTATCTCAGTGTAGTGTTAATTGTGGGGAGCAACTCCGACTAGACTAAGTTACTGGAATTAAGACTTATTCTATGCATCTGCTCTCCCACAATATGGCGCTGAGAAGGGAGAAACAGCTTCTACACAGCTGCCTCCAGTTCAACCAATAAACTGTAGGACCTGCTCCTGATTGCAGGAGAGCAGCGTACTCGGTGTGTGGGTAGCAGAGTTGGGATTGGTGGAAGAGGACTATAAAGGAGGAGAGAGACAACATGCACCAGGAACATCTAAGAGGAACACCTGTGCAGCCCCCGAGAGAAGCGGTCGGCGGTGTGCGCTCCCCGCGGAAGTGAGGGAATTGTGGCAGGGGGAACCGCCCTTCCACAGAAGTGAAGGGACGGTAGCACCCGGGAAGAGCAGCAGCAAACCCGGGGAGGGCCGAGCAGACGAAAGAACAACGCAGGGTCCTGTGTCGTTCCTCCACGAAGACGGGGAGCGACAGTTAATCTGCATTTCTTTGTTGACAAACCACGTGGGGATTCTTTACACTGTGGGTATGGTGTCTTGAGACGTGCCCATTTACGTGTCCTTCATTCATAACGTGGGGACCCTGGCAAGCTGGCTCCACGGTGGACTCGGAGCTCTGCTACGTGGAGGAGTCTCAGGATGTGCAGTCCGGCTGGAGAGAAGAATTGGGAGCTTGCTCGTGAACCCTTTGTGGAACACTCACGCACAGTTAAATATTTGTGCGCCTATAAATGTACTTCATTCATGGGAAAACACTAGATGCTGAAATCAGCAGACATGGCCTTTGAGTAGAAATCATTTCTGTCCTTTGTGGATTTTTGTTTTTTGTATTTTTCTATGCTTTTGTAGTATACACACGTTGTGTTTGGTGTTAGATTATTTTCTCTTTTGTTCATTTTCTTTCTTTTTAATATCGAGAGATTCCATCTGCTGGTTTACTCCCCCAGTGTCCACAACAGCTGGGGCTGAGCCAGGCCAAAGCCAGGAACCAAGAACTCCATCCGGGTCTACAATGTGGGTGAAGGGACCCAAATGCTTGCACCATCACCTGCTGCCTCCCAGGGTGCACCTTGGCAGGGAGCTGGAATTGCAAGCAGAGTCAGGACTTGAGCCCAGGCCCTCCGTATGTGATGCTGGTGTCCCAAGTGGTGGCTTAACTGCTGCACCAAATGCCCCCCCGTGTTCCTTTTCTGAATCTTCAGTTGTTTTTGGTTGCTGGGAACATATAGGATGTTTGCAAAGGAACAGCTGATACAAGAGGCACATCGTACACATGCGCAGGTTTACTTATCTTTCAGGCACAGAGACTCAGAAGACTTTAAAAAAAAAGATTTAAGCCGGCGCCGCAGCTCACTAGGCTAATCCTCCGCCTTGCGGCGCCGGCACACCGGGTTCTAGTCCTGGTCAGGGCGCCAGATTCTGTCCCGGTTGCCCCTCTTCCAGGCCAGCTCTCTGCTGTGGCCAGGGAGTGCAGTGGAGGATGGCCCAGGTGGTTGGGCCCTGCACCCCATGGGAGATCAGGATAGGCACCTGGCTCCTGGCTTCGGATCAGCGTGGTGCGCTGGCCGCAGCAGCCATGGGAGGGTGAACCAATGGCAAAAGGAAAACATTTTTCTCTGTCTCTCTCTTTCACTGTCCACTCTGCCTGAAAAAAAAAAAAAAGATTTATTTATTTGAAAGTAAGAGTGAGAGACAGAGGGAGAGAGAGAGAGATCTTCCATCTATTGGTTCACTCCCCAGATGGCCTCAATGGCTAGCTCTGGGCCAGGCTGAAGCCAGGAGCCAGGAGCTTCTCCCAGGTCTCCCATACAGGTGCAGGGGCCCAAGGACTTGGGCCATCTTCTGCTGCTTTTCCAGGCCATCAGCAAGGAGCTGGATTGGAAGTGGAGCAGCCGGGACTCAAACCTGCAGCCATATGGGACTGCTAGTGTCACAGGTGGCTTTACCCACTGCACTACAGTGCCGGCCCCTCAAAAGAGTTCTAAGTGGAGATGATGAGTTTGAAGGGGAAGGTGTGTGTAACCACCTTCAGAGCTCCTGAGGGGCTGCCAGTGCCCTAGGATTTCCCACCCAAATGTAAGCACAGACCCCCACCCACTAGAAACCCTGCCTTGGCTGGGCAGCCGCTCTGGGTGCTGGAAACCTGGCCATAGAGCCAGAAATTTCCCTTCCTGATGCCCAGGGCAGGCTCTGCGTCCAAGGGCGACCCCTGTTGGTGGAATTTTAATTTGCTCACGATGCGCAGGCCTCTTAGCTTGGGCATGGCTGAGAATTTGCTCGTTGCACATCCACCTGAAACCTTGGGTCCCCCAGCCTGCTGTCTGCTCTCCACCGCCCCCCTCGCTTCCTCACCCCCTAGGCTTTCCCAGGAACACCAGGTCTGGAGGCTTGTGTGGCAGGAGTGGCCATGGCGCCTTTTGAGCTTCACATAGGCGGGCTGTCGTAGCGGGCAGGTGGAGGGCGGCTGCCCCTGCTTCAAGGGGCAGATGTGGGCAGCCTGGGGCAGCACAGCTTGTCTGGTACACACTGATGCAGGCTGTTCCACTCAGGGAAGGTGGGAGAGAGGTGCACGCAGAGAGAGAGGAAGGGCGGGCTCTGGGGGAAGTCTCTGGGGGCAACAACAGAAAACCAGCAGTGCCTTCCTTGGGCAGCTCCCGTCTCTGCGTCTTGAGAGCCAGACCTTGGATGTGAGGTTGGGGGCAGGCAGGAGGTGCCACCGGGTCGTGTGGTCAGTGCTCGCCCTGTCCATCACTGGGTGCTGAGTGGAAGTGTGGAGGCTGGCAGCAGACGTGCCAGGCCGTCTGTAATCGTCAGCTGTGCTCTTTCCCCTGGGGCGTTGGTCAGTGATAAAGAAAGCTGGACACCAACAGAATGTGCTGGGCGGCCGTGGGCCATGGGGAAACATGACTAAGCGCTTCTCCGGGCCAGGCCCGGGCAGAGTCTCCCTCAGGGCCGACCTTTGTTCATTTGGACCAAACACTCATCACCCCCAGCAACACATGCACACACAGAAACAAGCATGCACACACACATACATGTATACACATATGTATGCACATGTGTGCACATGTGTACACACATGTATGCATGCCAGAAGGTACATGTGTGCACAGAGACACACATGCACACACACAAGCATGCATGCACATATACACATATACATGTACACAGAGAGGCACATGTACACACATGTATACACAAACACAAATGCATGTACATGCACACGAGACACATGTATGCACACACATACACACACATGCACACATACACACATGCATACACATATACAATGTACACACAGACACGTGTATGCACACACACAAACAGGCACACACAAGCAGTTGCATGTGTGCGCACACACATACACACACGCACACACACATAATTACACAACACACATGCATACTGAGTATCTGGGGTCTGGCACTCATTTAGGAAGGATGGGAATCGGGACTCCTGGCTTTGAGGACTGGGGCGGGGGGAGGCTTGTGGCTGGATTCCACTTTATTTCACTGGAAAGGAAAGGCTGGGGTGAGGGCTTTGCCACAGGGCCCCCGTGACCCCCCATGCGTCGAGGCCGAGAGGCTGCGTCCCTGTCCCTTGGAGGGTTCAGTCCACCTTCCTGGGTCAGGCCCGGTGCTCATCTTCCCCGGCTTAGTCAAGCGGCTGGGGTGTCAGAAGCTGCTGCCTGGGCTCGGAGGACACAGCTGGGCACCAGCGCCCAACCTGGACTCCGGGAGCCAGCAGTGCCGCCTGTCGCCGGCTGTCTTCCTGCAGACAGTTGTCACAGGGCCCTGGCTGGTAGAAGGAAGGCAGAGGAGTGGGTTTGGAGGGGGGCTGTGGCACAGGCTCCCCAAAATGGAAAGGACGGAGAAGTGGTGTGGATGCCTCCATTTCCCAGCTGTTCAAAAATGCAAACGACAAACCCAAACCAGAACCCAGGTCCAGAGAGGGGAAGCAGCAAGGCCGCGGCAGCCAGGGAAGGCTGCTCGACAGCCCCCCCCACCCTCAGAAGCTGTACGGCCCCTGTCCACCGTCCCCGTATCCAAGGGTGGCTGTCACCTGGCTGTGACCCCTCGGAGCCCTGGCCAGTCCAGTCCAGCCCATACGGGAGCGCTGGAGCCCAATGAGCACCTGCTTGGTTTTCCGACCCAGTGCTGTCCAGGCTTGCAAAAGAATCCATTTTCCTGATGAGAAAACTGAGGTCCGGAGATGCTCTGATCCCTGTGCACGTACACTGACACGTCTGAACCCGATTTCCAGAAAGTCCATGCGTGTTTCTCTCCGGGGAACTGGCGGGCCAGAGAAACGCCAGCGTTTCCTGCTGATGAATTCAAGGAGGCTCGGGAGACTTGGCCCGGAATCCCGACCCGCGGCCGCGCTTACTCCTGCCCGCCGGCTGAGCCGGGCCCGAGGCTGCGGCCGCTCCGCCGAGCCCTGGGCTTCAGCGCCCTCACCTGGCGGCCGCGCGCAGGGCTCGGCGGCCCGGGGCTCCGTGGACTCCGCGGGCTCCGCGGCTCGGGTCTGCGCCTCCCAGGGCGGCCGCCAGAGCCCGCCCGGGTCCCGCCCCACCTCGGCGAGGGCGGAGGGAGCCGCACCGGGGGGCAAAGGCGGGGAGCTGCTGCGGTGCCGCGCGGGCGCCAGGGGCTCCGCGGGAGGAGGAGCCAGTCGGAGGCCACGCCTAAAAGGTTACAGCGCCTATAAAAGCGGCTGCCGCTCGGGCTGGCGGCCACGGAGCGCGCGCGCGGTGCGGTCGGCGGGAGCCGGGGTGAGCGCAGCCGCCGGCGAGCGGAGGTGACAGCGGCCGAGAGCCCGGAGCCCACGCGGCGGAGCGCGGCCGAGGCCAGAGCCCCGACTTCCCAGTCCTCCGACCACCACCACCCCGGCGTGCGTGCCCTCGCCCCGGGAGCCCGCGGCGCCGCGCGGCGGGCGCTCAGCTTTCTGCGCTCCGGGCCGACCAGACGTGGCGCGGTCTCAGCCACCTACCCTGAGGTAAGCGGGCTGCGGCAGGGGAGGGAAGAACCGGGGTCCCGCGCCTTCCCCGGGGAACAGACGCGACGCGCCCTGAGCTCCCGAGGGGGCACCTGCGCTCTGTGGTCCCGTCTGTCTGTCCGCCCGGGTCTGCCGGTCGGTCCGCACACGTCAGCTGATGGCCACACGCCCCTTGTCTCCATGTCTGAGGGATTTTTCGGAGCTCTTGCGATCCTTGACAAGCGGCAGGTGCCTAGGGGCGCGGGGTGGGGGCAGAGCCAGCAGGAGGCAGCTCGCCGCTGTCCCCCAAGTGGTTCCCTCTCTGGACTGCACGGGGAGCTTGCGCTTGGGATGCAATGGGCCCCAAGGGCCAGCAGGGACCGGAGAGAGCCAGGCAGACCCGGAGCCGGCGGTCCCCGCGCGCTCCTGGGCGTGCGCCCAGCAACAGGTCTGCGTCCTGCTGCCGCTGCTCCGCGCGCTCTGCGATCCCGGTCGCCTTCGCCGCCCTCTGCCTCCCGGGACGCGAGGACTCGGGGCCGGGCGAGGGCAACTGCCTGGTGTTTAGACTGAGATCTCAAACCTGGCACGGCTGACGAGAGGGGACATCGGCTCCAGGAAGACTCTTATTAGGCCGAGGAGAAAGGCGGGGTCCCGGCAGGGCGCAGGCTCCCGCTGCGGCCAGGTCTCCAGGTCTCCAGCTCGCCGCCCCGGCAGCGAGGGCCAGTGACGTTCTGCAGTGGGCCCTGCGAGATGCGAGCGCCCGTGGAAAGGAACGCTGTGCGCCCGGGGTCCCGGCAGCAGAGGCGCAGCGATTCCCGGAGGCTCCCACACCACCGCCGTCCCAGGCGCGCCGCCAGCAGCCGCGTCTGAGGTCCGGAGTCCGGCTCCGAGAAGCCAGCGCTGCCCACAGGTGAGAACTCCCTTTTAAAACGAACCTTTTGATGTGAGAGCCAGTGCCTGGCTGCAGCCCCATCCCGGCGATGGCCCTTCCCGCGGTCTGGAGAGCGATCCAGGGCGCGCCCGAGGGCGGGGAGCCCGTGGCTCTGCGTGCCCAGGCGCGGCGCCACCATGGACAGCTCCCAGCCGCTTCCTGCTCTCGGGGTCTGTGGCCCTGGGTCTCCGCGAAGCCACTCGCTTTCCCCCCCAGGTCCGGGGCGCTGGGCGCGTTGGAAGGAGCAAAGGGGCTGATGGCCCGTGGGGGCCATTGGCGTTCCGTTCCCGGACCACACGAGCACCCAGGAGGCAGCAACTTGCAGGAGGCCGTGGCTGGTGACTGGGTGTTAGCTGAGCCTGCCGCTGGCTCTCGGGGACCGCTTGGGGCTTCCCTGTGGTTCCTGTGACCCTCACGGGAGCCTTCGGGGCGCTGTGAATGCGCTACCCCTGCACCTGCTTTCTGTGTAGGGCATGGAGTCGTGTGTTCCAGTTTATGAAATGATGCAGTAAACAGGGTCTTTGCAGACTATGCTTAGTTGCACAGGTAATCACGGAAAGTTTATCGAGAATGTGTTTAGATACATTTGCAAACGCGCCTCTACTATTGTCCAGTCCTCATTCTCTTCTTCAAAGCGCACACCAGTCTCCAAGCAGCCAAGAAGATGATTTTTCAAGTTGGTTATTTGGAAACAGAGTAGGAAAACCTGCAGGGGTTAATTTGTGCCCCCAGATTAAAAAATAGCGTGTCTCCTTTTAGTTTACATGAAACCTGGTAGATTTGTCTATGACTGATGCAGGGTAAAAACAATGAAGTACTTTTTTTTTTTCTTTTTTGTTTGCTTGTTTGGAAGTGCACCTGTGACTTTGGGGAAGTCACCTAAATTCTTTGTGCTGTCTCTGCATCTATAAACTGGGGATGACTCAATTTACCCTGCAGGGCTCCTGTAAGAATTTGCCGCACAGTAGAAGGCATTTAATCAAGTTTTGAGAATAGAGAAATGTCTTGAAATGGTATTGATTGTACCTGTGTTTCAAAGACAGCTTTGCGACTTTCTTGAGCTGTGTTCAGCCCTCTGCCCTGGCTCCTAACCTAGGAACTGTTTGACAGGGGGTCCCGTCTTCACCTCGCACATTCGAGAACTTGGTGACGGAAGTGATGAAAGTGCTGAAGCCGACACAGTGCTAAAAGAGTTCTTATTTAAAGATAAACGGAGGAATGCTTATGGGAGACAACTTGGGCAGCTGTCTTTTTCCCCAGGGTGACTTGCAGGAAAAAATAGCAGTAAGTCATTTTCAAGATCTGATCCCAGCCGTCAGTGCAGACTATCAGTTCTTCCTGATCCTTCTCCCACAAGTGTGCGGTGTCTGCTAAGGTGCTTTGCTGTCACTGGGGTGGGGCCGGGGGAGCACTCCCGGGCACTGATGGTGTCCTCCAAGGTCCCGTTCCCGGGTTACTGCAGGATGGAGGGAGGCTTGGCTGTCCTGCAGAGAGCCCGGTCCAGGTTCCTTCACATCTCAGTCTTGCGTGGGAGTGAGGCCCTCACCAAGATGCCTGCTTGCAGATGCACTTGGAGGTCTTTCACCAGCTCTTGGGAGTCCCGTCTAGTAGGAATCACTGTTACGTACCTGACTCATGTGGATGTCTGGATAATGGAGTCGTAATGTACTCAACCTTCCAGTTAGATTTTACAATGTATGTTGAAAATTTCGGAGCTAGCTGGCTTGGTAGGTCCTATCTGCTGGCTCACTGCTCCCCCAAATGCCAGCAATGGCTCCTGGTTGGAACCGAAGCTGGGAGCTGGAAATTCAATGCTGGTCTCCCTCCCAGCTGCTTGAGCTGTGACTGCTGCCTCCCAGGTTTGCAGCACTAGGGAGGTGGAGTCGGGAGAAAGCTGAGCGTGGGACCCAGGCACTCCCACAGGCACCCCAGTGTGAGATCAGAGCCCACCCTCAGTTAGATTTCTTTTCCCTAAAAGTGTGTGAGTGAGTGTAGATGGACACATATGTGCAGGTTTGCATTCCTACCAGTTGCACATTCCCGGTGCTCCTAGATTTTTCCTTCTTTTCTCCCCTGAATAGATGAGAAGGGACCCGGGCTCCCTATACCTGAAAGGACTGGTGCTAAAGACGCGGCCGGCAGAGGCTGGAGCCCTTCCGTGACCTTCTACTGTGGACACGAAAAGAGCGAGCAGACGGGGTCCTGGGCAGCCCTGCAGTCCTGGCTGTCTTCCGTGGGCTCCCATGAAGATTCCAGTTCCCAGCCCACCCATGGCTTTCCGGTAAGAACTCTGTTGACCTACACAACCATCTGGAAGTGCAGGGCCACCAAGGGGAAGAAGCAAAAGAAAGGAGATTGTCATTGGTCCTGTCCATTGCAGCAGTGTCACTGGACAGACAGAGCCGATGGCTAGGGTGGCATTGAGTAAAAAGGACAGCCAGACGGCAGAGGTGGACCCTGGCTCTCCTGAGCACCTGTGCTTCTAACCCCCTCCTGGAACCTTCTGTAGTATTGGAGAAGTGGCTGAAGATGGATTTGGAGTTATCTCGAAGGAGAAACGCAAGCATGCAGGTTGGGTTCCTAACAGGGAGTGATGCTAGGATTGTGGACTGCCCACCAGGTCCCCTCTCCTATGGCTGTGCAGAGGCAGTGTCTCTTGCCTTTGAAGAAGGACTAGGAGTGGATCCCAGTTCTTGCTCCGCTGTGTCTGGTCAGGGTGGTAGAGGGACGGGAAGGGCTGACTTCTCAGTCCCCTGGTCTTTTCTGCTGTTTTGCCAGCAGGGCCTGTGCCTCCTTTCCCAAAAAAGAGAGGAACTGGGGAACTTTGCAGATTTGGGTAGGATGCTGACTACCACCGCGACTTCAGGAATGTCTGCTTTCTGGCTCCAGGGATTCCTTTCAGGGGACATCCTGGCCTTTCCTAGATTCTTTGTCTTCCTTCCACCCCGGTGTCAGCTTCCTTCTTCAGAAGGGAGGCGGCCTGCAGAGGATGCTCATCCTGTATGCGTTTGCTGCCCGCTTCCCTCTATGCGCCCACCCAGGGGGAGCGCAGCTGCCACCCTGCCTGTTCTCTCCCAGGGGTGGTTTCTAGGCTTGGCTTGGCTCTGGGAAATTGAACCCATCCCTCCCTTCCCACCCTTGTTGATGAGTGAGCCCCGAGGAGCTCGGACCAGCAGGCCTCCCCCATGGCTCTCTCCAGCCCTGGGGTCCCTGCGTTGGGCAAGTCACTGAGGTGTTGTATCTTCTGCAAAGGCAACCAGCCACAGCATTGGTTGAGATACAAGGAGACGACTTCAGAACATGTGTGGGGCAAGGGAACTTAAAGATGAGTTTATTTTGATGGAACATTTTTTGAAAGCTGTGCAGCTTTTCACCTAATACTTAATTTCCATGAGCTTTTTCGCAACTTGGGTTTAGCGTGCTTTGAGCAGACACCTGCTTTGGAAAGGCCCGTGTATTTCTTTCTCTTAGCTGTCAGGAGAAGAGCTTGGGCTCCAGGCGTGTTCTGTTACAGGGGAGGCACCTCTAAGAGGCTGGTATCCACCCAGACGGCTGCCTCTCCCGTTTCGTGATCTCCCACAGGGTAGGAGGGCTGCATGGTTTGGCTCTTGTCATGCTGGTGACCTGAATCCTCATGGCTGTGAGGCATGGACCCAGCCTACAGCACTGAGGATGGGGCCAGTGGCCTTGGGGGACAGGACACAGGCATCCTGTGGGGTGACTTTGCTGGTCAGAAAAGATAGGAACTATTAGGGGGACCTGGGAACCTCTGATAGACATTGCATTTTGGACCATTCCTGGACCAGTTGCCAAAGTTGAGGCAGCTTCCCCAGCTTCAGCCATCCTCCGTGTCTTTGTAAAAGGAAGGGGTCAGGCCAGACCCTTGTTTCTTCGAGGTGAATATGCAAATGAGTCCCTGGGATGGGGGGTGGGGTGGGGCCTGAGTGGCTATGCATCTCAAAATCTCCTGGGGATGCGCTTGGTCCATCGGCCCCCTTCCAATCACGGGGCGATGATTTTCTGTGACTCTGACTCTTAACTCTTTCTTGGTGCAAACCCAGTCTTTGTCTGATGTCCTGGTAGATGGAAC